ACACTAGTTGTGTGACTGCAAAATGCAATAAAAATAGTTCAACTATTTCAGCTCAGTTCTTGATTAATGCAAGTTTTAGAGGCTTGAGTGGTGAGCTTGAAATCAGGAATCACTAGGGATGAGGAGGAGACACTCCTACTACAAAATGCCCCATTTTCATCCCCATCAGTTTTTGAAATGTCAGGTGTGGTGCAAAGCTGCCAGCATCTGTTCTATTCTGGATGTAGAATTATTAATGTTAATGGCCAAAAAGTAGGTCAGCCCATCATACTAAGCTGCAGTTAATTTGGCTTCCTCAGTAGAATTTTGTTCTAATGATAGAGGTGAGTTAATGTAGATGAATCAGTGCTTAAAGGGGAGTGAATTACACTGGCATTTACAAAAGTAATGAATTGCACAGACATTTACAAAATGAATGAATAACACAGACATTTACAAAATGAATGGCATGGCATAAAATGTATTTTTTAAGGGGAATTCCACATATTTTTCAAAATGTCCACATAATTTAGCAGTTGAGATTATAAATACGGTCATTCACAGTGGTTTGAGGTGAAATGGTTCATTTGTAGAGAAACTTGCAAATTTATATGTTTTTTACAGAGGTGGTGATAGGATCAGGGGTCCTAATGTCTAAAACACAAATATAGTTATTTTATTTACTATCCAAAACCACAAACCTACGCGTGAATTTTTAGGGTTTTTTTTTTATGTAATGTTGATAATGTTAAAATAGTGGTAAATTTGATAAAAGATTTTTCTTTGGGGACTACTGTGCCTTAGAACACCTTTCATGTATCCCTCCACCATGAATATATTAAAATAAACTGATTAAAATACGTTTTAGGCCAAGTTTTTATCACAAAACTGCTGTAAAACAGTGTGTTAGACGTCAGGATGAGTATTCATGGCCATTTCATGTATTTTTTTTTTTTTTTGTGAAAGAGATTGTTAAGACATTAAACGCTTCAGACGTCTGGTTCCTATCACAACCACGGTGAACAGTTCTGACTCAGTAAGTTTGTCAAGAACGAAGCAATTTTACACCAAACCACTCTGAACAGCTTTGCTTCTCAACCATTTAATTATGCTGAATTTAAAAAAAAATCGGTGCCGTTCCCCTTTAAATCCCTGCACGGTGGAGAGGCAAACAGAACCCACAGAAAACGTTTTTTGTTGACCGAGTCCTATTTTACCTTTATTAGCATTACATGTAAAAACTCAAAAGACATATAGGATGACTGGCAGACTCGGAGAGTAAATTAAATTCATATATATACGTTGTAGACATAGCGACCCCTGGTTCCTATCACCACCATTTTAAAGTTTCTCTACAGTGCACTTACTCACATCAAAACACTCTGAATGACTTCATCTCGATGATAGGATTACGACGATTGGACGAATTTTAATAAAGCTATGGAATTCCCCTTTAATCCTATGCATCAGTGTGTACTGCAGCGTTGCACGCCGCGCGCACAGCTACTCTCTCATTTCAAATTAAAAATTCAACGGACACTTAGCGACTGAGGCCCGGTGAACGGTTAACAGACACGCTCGCTTCAGCTGAGAGAAATAATGTTACTTTAGTTCTCCTGGACGTCCTCACGGTTATTGTCGTGAACCATTAGCAGAACATATTAGCAGACGCACAGTAATGTGTCAGCATTGCTAGCTTTAATATTAATCAGCCTCAACTCGTAAATGTGTCGCGCCTTAGCAACTCTAACGTCAGGTAACGTAACGTTAGTTACTTATGAATTTTGTCAGCTTGCTAGCTAAGTTAGCTTGTGTTATCCTAGCAGAGTTCATACAGAGGTAACGTTAGATTAAATTGATAGTAAATTGTCTTTCTGTCGTTTGGTAAAATACTTGAAGCAGAGTGGTGTAAGTTAGCGTTAGCTAACTAGCTAACGTCAATAGCAAGTGTATCTCGCATAGCTGGAGTGGTAAACTAGCTGTTAACCTGTCATCACTCGGTAGTAGCTGGCTAGCCAACCTTAGTTAAGTTAGCTTATTAGCGTTAGCTTCTGTATGGTGTTCTAAGGTAAGTACAGTTAGTTTGTTCACTGTCTCTATAGATAGATGTAACTTATATGACAACTAGTGTTCTTATTTACTGAAGTGCATGAAAAAACGTACAGCAAGCACTTGAAGTCAGATGAAGTTCACTGCCTTCTGCACCTCTCTAAACATGAGAGCAAAGGTCAGAGATTTGGATGAAGCCCATTATTATATCCGTGTCTACAGCCGTTACCAGAAAAGTGTAGCTCTGTAGCAGGATTGCGACTGTGATCCTGTTCCTCACTGATCATAATCAAAAACAGCCATACTTTTATAGTGATATAACTCACTTTTCCTATTAACTTTACATTATTTCATACAATTTTAAGTGTTGTTACACCTGTTTGATTCTCTGATATCACTGTCTCCTGTGAAGCATTCAGTGCAATCCTCTGTATTGATCACAGCCAAAAAGCAGAGAGCAATTTTTTATGGCTACAATCCAGACTGGGTGAGTTCAGAATTATCTACACGGAAGTTTAAAGTAATCTAGTGCAGTTCTGAAAGGCAAAGGAGGTGAAGCTGAAATCATGATCAAGAGAAATAAGCAATTAGCCCTAGCATTTTAAGGGATGTGGAGTGATGTTGAGGGTCGACAGAGGCAGTGGATAGTAGCTAAACTTAAAGAAACTCTTGTATATTTCATGTTAAGCTCACTAGTGTATTTTTTTATAAACAAAAGAAGATAAACTATATTTCCAAATGTTTATGGACGCCTGAACATCCAAGGAACTTAGAAGTGTTAATAGGAGTCTGTCCCTCATTTGTTGCAGTAACAGCCTTTACCCTTCTGGGAAGTTTTTACACTAGATGTTGGAACATTGCTGTGAGAATTTGATTGCTACAAAAGCATTAGCAAGGCCAGGAACTGGTGTTGGATTAATAGTTCTGGAACACAAACACCACTCCAGCTTACCCCAAAAGTATTAGATGGTGTTCTATAGAGATCACTATAAAGAATGCAATTCCACTGCTCCACAGCCCAGTGCTTAGGGGCTTTATACCCCTGTAACTGACGCTTGGCATTGAGCACGGTGACCTTGTGCGGCTGCTCCAGAGTCCAGAGCATCTCATTCTATTGGCAGCACTTTTTGGCGGTTGTACAAGCTATGTGTAAAGAACTGACCACTTGTGTTAGCAATGGGCGCACCTTAAAGTGGCTGAATTCACTAATTATAAGGGGTGTCTAGATATGATTAGGGAGTGTAATTTGTCATGGTAAACTGAATAATGGATTTGTCAACCAGGACCTACGATAATATGCATGTCCCATATTAACATGTAATACACTCTTTTGTATAACCTGATATGTCTTAATACTTGAATCCGTTATAATGTAATATTTATGGATTCTAGGGCTTTCAAATTTGGCCTTTTTGTCTGCCCGAAAGTTACCCAAACCCCTCCCAATGAGAGAACAGTTTTTTTATGCTATATATACCTAATTCAATTCTTATTTTCCTTTTAAATTTGTATATTGAAGTATATAGTTACAAAATACAGTACAATATTATAAAGTACCTTTTTAGAAACTCTGAAACCCACCTGCCCTCTTTATTTGCATATTGTTTTAGCCTTTTTTGCCACCCCCCTAAAGAACAAAAAGTTTGTGTACCCCGATCTATCCATCCATCCATCCATCCATCATCTAAACCGCTTATCCTTCTGGGTCGCGGTGTACCCCGATCTAGAGTTTTAAAAATGAAACAGGCTGTACAGTAACAGTAATTGTGTGTGGTTTCGTGTTCCTGGCCTGTAGAAAGTGTTCTTGCTGCAGCGCTCTTGTTCCCTCGGCTGAGGCGCTGTTCAGGCGGCGCGCGCGCTGCAGGCCCACAGTGCTCGCGCGCCTCAAACGGATTTCAGGATTTTAGCACGAGATTTCTGAAAAAGCGAGTTTACAGATAAGTCTCAGTAAAACAAAACGAACCCGGCCACGGAGCCCCTGAAAAACACTTTCCCAATTCAGACTGACGGCAGAATCAGTGTACGGGGCGAAACCGTGCTGTCCTGTGCGGCAGAACGTTCCTTGCCACACGCCAGGGTGGCACTCATATACTCCCAGGTGGGGGGGTTTTAAGGTTGATTAGACATCGAGTAGGACAAAAACGAGATGTTTTTCTCGTTCGTGTCGGAAAATTAGCTCTCGTTTCACTCAAAATGTCGACAGACTGTCTTGAAGTAACATGGTAGACGGTTAAGATGGTGTCGTCCCCTCCATTTCCCCCTCCCCATGAAGAAAACCGGCAGAGTGCTAACCATAATAATAATAATCATCATCATCCACACATTATCGCTGAAATCTGAGATGTGTGGCTTTTAGCGCTCGGGTAGCCATACACACTCTCCCCCATTTCGTTCACATGATCTCATTACAATAAAAATGTATCCCATCGTTTTAGACGGAGGATGTATTATGATTCCTGCGTATGCAGCTTTATGGGACAGGCTCGAAATCCCCACAAAACTCACTAATGTTCCTCAACGGTGCCATTCACTGGAAAAGCAGCCCGCGTTGACCACTGCAGTTTCTGCAGCTCGTGTTTAACATAAAACGCTGCTTTTACCAAGTGCAGCTTAAACTTCTCGAATATGTAGACCTACTACAAGTCGAAATTTTAACACTTTGTGGCCTGTTTCAGCAGCAGACTCCATTTTGAAGCGGCAACAGCCTCACAGACCTGATCTGAATCCCGCGTGAAAGAGCGACGAGCAAACGAGTTTGGTGGCTCGTCCCTTAATGCTAAAGGCTATGTTGAATTTTGCCCTATATATTTTTTTATCATTAAGTCGAGAGGTAATATGAGCCAACAAAACCGTCTGCTCTTATGAGTTCACTGAGCTCAAAACAATTTAAAACGTGTAACAGCTATTCGACGCTTTCATTAGTGTTATTTTAACTCGAGTTTAAAGCGTTCTGTGTGGAAATGTGCAGTTTTGCTGGGAGTGGAGAAGTATGAAGTAGAGAAGCCGGGGGTTGAGGGGGCTACCGCAGCACAAGCACAGAGGGGGGGTGGGTAGTGTAGCCGTGCCGATTGGCTGCTCATAGACATACAGCTACGGCTAGAAACACAACCAGGGGCAGGTCGACAGCAAGGAAACAAGAATCATCCACCTCAATTGAAAAAGTACAGCCGGCGTTACGCAACGTTGAGGTAACGTTTCGCTGAAATGTGGCGAAGAGGGACGGTTTTCCCCCCTCTGTGAGTGTAATGGATGTGTTTGGTGTGTGTGTGTTTTATTTATTCAGAAAGGGGCCGCTGGTACAGTGATAGCTAGCCTGAAGTGGCAGGAATATGAGGCTCAGGTTCTTGGCCTAGTGCTGCTGCTGCTGGGATTTGTTGATCCACTTTCACAATTCTGGAAAAAAGGCTATTTCGAGAACGAAATCGAAGAGTTTTCAGCAATGATGACAACGAGCGACACATGAATGGTAAGATTTCGCTTGCATTTTAGCGCTCATCATATTCTGCACGCTTTATTATAGCGAAGATTGTGTACAAGTTTGACCAGTGGAAGTCTCAGCGTGTGTGCGTGTGTGCGAGTGCATGTGTGTGAGTTAGATGTTGGTGTCAGTCCAGGAGAAGGACATTATAACATGTAATGAGGGAAAATCCTGTGTGGGCTGTTTCAAATTACAAGGCTGACGCCGCTGTTATTTCATATTTCAGCTTCCCGCTTCTTCAGAAAGATGACAGTCAGACAGAGAGTGGGTTTGCCTCGCCTTCACTGGCCACCATAGTGTGTCATATATGTGCGCCTCACACCATCATCGCCGTGTTTCTGTGCCAGGGCAAGGATGGCTCGTCAAGAGCAGGTTATAGCTGGCGGCGTGAGCTTCTTAAACGCGCGCCGTCTCCTGCTGGACGTCCACTATTGATATTAGCAGCGAATGTTTACTAGACTCAGGCAAGCTTGTAGGCTTACTCTTCGCACCTTCCACATTCGATCCAGGCCTTGATATAGGTATATAGGTTACATGGCTGAATGGGAAACCTACTGTCGAGTGTGTGTGTGTGTGTGTGTATATACATATATATGTATGTATATATATATATATATATATATATATATATATATATATATATATACAGATGAACCTAAGATGAACTACGATATAGTCTAGCTCAGGTTTCGTATATGTGGTAAGTCATTTTTCACAGGTGTGTTTGTGTTTGTGTGTGTGTGCCCACTTTCACAGGTTGGAGACATGACAGCATGAGCTGCCTCCTAGGCATTTCTGAGGCATGCAGCAGCAAACAGCTGCACAGGTCTACCGCATACTAAAAGAACTGACAGTCCTGTCTCATCACATGGAAACCTTCGCCCATCAAAGGCACAGAAACCGGTCTTCCGGTCTACCGCCACTTAGAAGCACAAAGCTAAAGACCACTGCCTACCTTACAGTCCCTTGAGAAGATTCTAGTGCCTGACCATTGTGGAGAACTGCATGGACCTGTTTTCACAGACAGGGATCCTCAAGATCCATAAGAATGATTACCATGTGACTCTGGGACGGGGTCCTGGGTTGTTAGTGTAAGCTAGGTGACAGCACCAGCTCTTTTACAGAATCACAAAAAATGGACACAACTTTTTCTGATAGTAGAGCTGACAACAACTGCATGTCCCCTCCCAGTCCAGACTTCAGTCTTGATTCGTCCAGTCCTTTTGCAAATGGCCTACACTTTGAGTCAATTTTGTTTGAGGATGAGGAGGAAGAAGAGGAAATGGACACTGAGACAAGGTCTTTGTTAGAAAATCCTTGTAGCAGCCCTAAAAACAACCTTTCTATCAACACAAATCCAAAGGTTAAATTCAGTGTTGAGACCTGTCTATCCAAAGGCAAACGTTCAACGGCCTGCACATCACTGGAGCAAGATAACTTTGAAGAAGAGTCAGGCGGTGACTGCGATCCAGCTTCTTCGGTGTGTAACCCTGCTAAGGTTTTAGTGATAAATGGTTATTATCCTACCCAAACCCATCAACCAAGTCATGACTAAGTCTAATTTTGTTGGACACATTTATAATTGATGTGCTGCAACCTAAAATTTAAGATAGGGGCCAGTTACACACTAAGTGATTAAAGCAAAGCTCTGTCATTTTTCATCAGAAACATTTTCCAACCATCTCACAGTGTTTCTAGTTCTAGACAACATATCAAGAGATGAATACATCTTTGAAATTTAATGTTCCTGTTGATCTTTGTAAGTTTCAAGCAGATCTGTGATATATACCTGAAATGTATATGTTGCGTGATAATAATACACTATAATACTTAATGTGATTAATTAAGTATTTTGTGTATATTAGAGGGAGCAAGTATAGAATTACATGCAACAGATCATTACAAACCACCTGTAACAAGGTGCAATAACAAGATTTTACATTTCAGAGCATATTTGTAAACATTCTTTGAACATTGTTTAGCCTTTGGTACATCTTTCTGAAGAAATGTTTTACATTACCTTTCATATGAGCTTACATGTATGAAGTTTCCTTTATCAAACCTCACTGTCTGGTGTCTACTGGCAGGTCAGTGGCCCAAAGGCAAAGCCTCTTCCCCCAGTGAAGTACCTAGAAGGTGAAGTTATATGGGCCAAGTTCAAACGTAGGCCATGGTGGCCATGTCGGGTGACAGTTGATCCAGTATTGGGAACTTATCACAGAATTAAAGGTATGTCAATCATTCCTTCTATACCAGTGATGAAAGAGAGTGTAACCAACAATACACAATAGACTGTCCACCTGTTTGTTGTAGTTGCAGTTTGCCAAAATACCTGTATCAGAAGGCATTTCAAAAATTTAAAGCCAATCTGTTAATGTCCATATTAAAATATTCATTTTAAGCTAATTTTACATTTAAATGAATATTCTAGTACAGTTGTAACACTGTCACTGTAGTAACAAACATTGTGTTTCCAAAACGGTAACTTTGTATGAAAAAGTTTCTTAACTGTTATGCATGTTCATGTAATGAGATTTTGTTCTAGGTACTGTTGGACCATTTCTGTGGATCCATTTGTTATGAAATGTCCACACTATATGACGGGCCACTGGTTTGTGAAGTAAGCAAAAAAACAAAAAAAAGCAGAAAATAATTACAAGTAGTCCCGTCACAATCATGAAATTTTAGCTAAAAATTAATCATCATTAATAATAATTGTTATTAACAGTAGGCCTGCAACAAATATTTAGTATATTCTAATTAAAAATATTCCACATTGTTAACCTATTTAAATAACTGATATTTTTACAATTTCTATGAAACCATGCACTTCTGTAGAGAAATAAAATGTTATCAAGCTGAACGCTAGCTTGTTACGTGTAGTGTGCAGAAGCCAGCTCTGCACACTAGAGATAGTTAGGAATGGAGTCTTGCATTAGGTACAAATAGCACCTTTCAAGACCTCAAGGACACAGTACAGATGATAACAATAAAAAATAAAAAACAAAATAGACATATACAACATTAAAAGGGAGAGGGGAAAAAACTGATTATTGGCAATAAATGAGAGCATGCTGGCTCTAGTTTATTCAGACTGCACTGGGTGAAAAGATTGACATAGCTGAGTTTAGCACACACTGAGCTGCTTAAAAACCTTTATCATATTAAAAATATTTGCTCAACCTGTTCAAGAGTTGTCCACAGAAGTTGAACATCATATTTTTACGATGATGGTTAAAAAGGCCTCTAGATTTTCCTCTGCTCCCCTGCGCCAGTCATCTCTGACATACAAACAACATGAGCAACCTGTACTGTGTTGCTAGATTGGGCGGGATTCCCCAATTTTAGCATTTTAGAGTACTTGCTATGACATTGATAATTGTTTATCAGTAATGTTTTTTCATTACTTTGCAGTATTTAAATTAAGTTGTATTAAAAAGAAAAAATAGAAAGGTAGATAATGAATGGAATTCAAGAAAAAACAATTGAGCTGTGAAAATTAGTAATGATAGCTAGAAGAAGAAAAAAGAATAAAATGTGTTTTTTCCCTTTCATTATACTGAAACATGTGGAGCTTTTCTTAAATATTCAAGTGTTCAGGATAGTGGATAGAACCTTCGATCGAATATTCAAGAATTAAAACATTTGGTAGTTGCAGTCTTATTTTGTTTGTTATATAACTATTAAAGTGCAAAGCTAAAGCAACAAAACTGGTCATTTAGCTATTTTGCTTCCTAGCTGTCAATACATAGTACCAAATCCTAGGTTGTACTAACATGAAATGATAGACGGAACTATTGTGCACAACATATTCATATAGATGTCTGCAGTTAAACAGCATATGTAGTAATAATATTACCACTAGCTGAACTGTTAGCTTTAGCATAGTCTTTTTTACAAAGTTATAATTGAAAAAAATAGCAGGCAACACAGCTACAGACCATTTCTGTGAAGCTGCTTTGTGACAACATCAGTTGTAAAAAGCGCTATACAAATAAATTTGACTTGACTTGACATTCCAATATCATGTAATAGAACTTTGTAACTTTGTCTTTATCTGGAATAGAAACTGTGAAAGAGCCCCTGCACTCTAAAATGTGTGTTTTTATGGTTAACTGCTCTTCTTCTTCTTCTTGTTATTATTATTATTATTATTATTGTTATTATACAGATGGATATTTGATTCAATTCCTAACCAGCTTCCTAAGTATAGCTGAAAAAAAGCAATATGTGGGGTGCTATGTAGCAGCTTGGTTTATTTTGTCATGAATGAGCTTGAACCTATCACGACCCAATATACTAAAATATGCTAATGAGAGGATGTATCAGGGACAGATGAGAGGCAGCATGAAGCCAGCTCACGAGCAAGGGTGTAGCCAGGACTTTCACAATGGGGGAACCAGACTACACCCAGTGAATTTGATGCGGTGGCAAATGAAAACAGGTTAATAACATTCTTTTGAGCATATATTAGGGCTGTGTTATTAAAATAACATATAGTTGTGTTAAATTTAATCATATGATTATATTCAGCTAAGCAGTAAATTACTAGTATTGTTATTGTTTTTATTATTTAGAAACAGAAAACTGTGTAAACTATCCTTATCTTTACTTTCTGGTTCTTACTGATCCTAGAAATATGTGAGCTGATTATTATTAACCAAAGTCAGATTTGAAAAAGAAATCAAATTAAGTTAAAAGCTGTAAAAAGCTCCACTTCGCTGTCTAATCAGTGTGCGCATTTAAGGCCATGTGTTGACTGTAACCATGGCACCGTAAACACCTTTTTCTACTTTTTAATGTCTTTTTCAAAGTTTTTATTTTCTGGCATGAAAATAGAAAATTAAATTCAAATAATAGTAATATAATAGTCACTGTGATACATTGTAAGATATTGGGTATTTGAGGAAATTTTGTTCAAGTTAAAATCCTAATCAGGAATTGTTAGGGATTTGATATGCAATTTTTTAGGTTCTTGCTCAGTTGATAAGGCACATACCATAAAATGGTGGAATATTTTTATCCTGCTCAGTATCATTATTTCTGAGGTTATTAACAGTAACTCAGAACTAGAACTCTCTGCCATATTTTCACCAGTTTTGGATTTGGGAAGTGTTTTCAGAGAAGCAAAAACCGTGATTGATTGTTTCTTTGTGCTGTTATATTTCAGAGCCATGTGATACACTTTCCCATCAGTATTACATCAAGACATTTGGAGTACCTGAAGAATTGGCATGGGTCACTGAGAAAGCCACCCATATATTTGTGGGTGGATATCAGTTTCACAGTCTCCCTGGTCAAAAGAGAGGGGGACGACAGCAAGATGAAAACTGCAGTTACTCTGTAATTATTGTGTAATTAATTAATATATTGCATGTAAAAATAAAATTGTAATTAATGGAGAGGTCTGCAGTTTGTTTAAGTGTATAAAGTGAATGTCTTACCTGTCTTTTTTTCATTTGGAGGTACCCAAGCGGTTTCTGAGCTCTTGGACTGCAAGTGTGGCTGAAGCAGAGGCACTTTTCCTGGAGAAGCCCAGGATAACCATACCAACATCTGAGTTCAAAGAAAAGTGTTCAGTTGATAGGACCAGAAGAGACCCAGAAGACAAGGCATCCATCACCCAGTTGTCCATGGGAAGCCCTGAAAGTGGTCACCTACCCAATGGGAAGATTATACATAAAGACCAGAACATGTTGAGTAAATCTAAATGCAAAAAAAAGCAAAGAAAGTCATCAGCAGTGCTTTTTACAAAATATGAGGAGTTTGTTTGTGAAAAGGCTAAATTGGAAGAAGCTGTAGACAGTCCTTATTCTGACATTGACTCGGTGCCACAGATTCGCAGATGTCCCAAAGGCAGAGACCAACCAAAAAATTCCATTGCTGATCAGTCCTCAAAACAAATCACAAACTCAAATGATAAAGAGGCGAAGAAAACCCCTGAGAGTCAAGGTGGCCTTTGGTTCAGCAAAGCCGGAAAAGGCCAAGCCAGTGGAGTATTTAGTCGTGCAGGAATTAAATCTGTTAATTGTTCCTTTGGTAAAGTATCTTGTAAGATAAAGATGCCAGATACGCCAAGCATAAAGCCCAGAGACAGTCAAGTCACAGGACTTGAACACGTATCTACAGAAGCTAAAAAAGCTTTAGACAGAAGAGTTGCAAGTCTTCCAGCTAGTCGTCGGCTGATGACCAGAGCGCTGAGAGCAATGGAGGTAGCTGAGTTGGAGAAGAAGCTGACATCAAACGAAAACCAGGAGCAAAATGCTGAAACAGCAAACAACATTTCTAGATATACATCTTATGAAAAGGAAAAAGTGAAATCAGCCTGCTCTTTACAGAAAACATCATCAACAGACGCAGGTCCAGATTTGAAAGTCGACATGACCGAAAAACCAAGTGAAACCTCCACGGTTTCTTCAGATGATGAAGGTGTGGTGAAATCTGAGGATGAAAGTTGTTTAATATCTCCTGAATCTGCTGATCTTAATCCAAAATTCAAACAAGAGACTAATGTGTCTGATATATCAAATAGTTCAACTCCATCTTCATTGCTTTTTAATATGCAAGATTATGAAGACATGAAAGAAATAACCTTCAGGTCACTGGAAAGTGAAAATAATGGCAAGCTTGTAACATTTCGACCAGATGCTAACTATAAATTTAGCACATTTCTGATGTTGCTAAAGGATATACACGATAGCCGAGAGAAAGATGGCAGGCCCTTGGTAGTAGAACCTTTACCTACAGATATTCTCATCAAAGAGGAGCCATCCCTGATTCCAGAAGAAGTTGCAAAGAATGATTCTGGCCATGTTAAAAACGATGACCATAGTTCCTCAATAGGTCCCCAGAAGTGTGACAAGGGCAGACTTGGTTTTAAATCCAAACTCAATAAAACAAAAACGAAATTTGGTCCAAACATGGTTATGAACATCCTTCAGAATGGAGGGGCCGACAACGGTCTAATTCAGGAACATCAGTCAATGTCTAGTGTACCAAAATGTGTTCGTAGACCTAGTAAAAAAAGTCAACCTGCAATGAACAAGAAGAACCTCAATAATACTGCTGTGCCTTCTGAGCTCCCAAAACATGTATGTAACTCAGATGACATGCAGAAGCCAGCATGTCATGTTGCTACAGAGGACCCTGAGAACAATTTTTTTGGCAGTGTCCCTAAAAAACGCTGGCAGAAATTTGACCAGGATAATGAAAAGGTGCTGCACTCAGAAGTCAGAAGTGACCAGGGACAGGTATTGCTTTCAGAACAGAAAAGTGTTGTGATACCTAATGCAGAAGATTCAAATTTATCTGCATCCAGAAAAGAAATGGACATCAACACAGCAAACTTTGTTTCCTGTAGCCATGAAGTTTCTAGTTTACCCACAGGTAAGATGCTTGTTGAAATAAATAGCAATTTAATGTAGAGGATGATGTGTTAGATTAGATTGCATTACTTGCTTATAATATCTCTGAATTCATGTTATGCACAGATCGCAAACGCATCAGAAAGCCTAGCAAAAGACTCATAGAGTGGACAGAGGAATATGATCAGATATTTTGCACAAAGAAGAAAGCAAAAAAGAAACCTGAAACATTGCAGAAGGTAATTCTACAGTTGAAAAGCTTTAGGACATCTGAAACCATGTATAGCTGTTTATCTGGGAGGTTCCTTTTTTTAAGTACATTTTTCAGCTAAGATTTTTGCACAATACTGTGTATGTCAGTGTTTTTTTGGAGAGTTAATTAATTTCCCACATGTATTATTTTTCAATTACCCTTTTCAGGTTATAAAGAACACATGCAGTGCTACAAGTGAGAAATTGTCAGGAATACTGGAGCATCAAGAACCAGTACAAAGTATTTTGAATTCCCTGCCTGAAATTCAGACTCCTCCCCCTGAAGAGAGGTCCAAAACGCCTCCCCCCATAGAGGATACTCCATGTCAAGAAGGTCAAGTCATGGCTGTAGACACACTAACTCCGCCTCCAGAAACAGTCCCCTTTCCATATGGTGAAAACTGTTTTAAGGAACAGCTTCCGGTTCATAGTTGTTCAGGCACTGGTGAGTAATTGTTTACATTGAAAAAATAAATTCGGTAATTCCACCAGAATGCATTGTTTTGCTGTCTAAAGAAATACCTAGTTTTTCGGCCCTCATATTGCCAGTAGTATTTTTGCTAGAAATGGTCAAAGATGAAAATAATAGGGGTCAACGTTTTTTGATTCAAATTAATAGATATTTTTAGGTTTTATGCATACAGGATGGATTGTCATTAGATTTGTAGGGGCATGTCAAACTAAAACCGAATCAGTTTGATTACAGGAAAAAAATATTGACAACATTAAGATGTTCCAAGTGCTTTTGGACAATGTCTGTGCAATGTATGATTCACTAAAATGAAATGCTTTGAAACGTTCCTTTGGGCTTATATCAGTGTCATGTCACTGTGAATTTAAACAATGCTTTTCATCACAAAAGATCTTTGTTGTTCTTTAGGTAATGGCACCTCTCTAAGTACAAAGAGACAAAGGAAGCCTACCAAGAAAATTCTAGAAAGCTCAATTGAAGCAGAACCAATTCTAATGCCAAAAAAGAAGGTACTGGCAAAAGTTACTGTGTGGTGTGTCTCTTTTGGAAATATTTAAATTCATTATGGATTTGCTGCTTAGTATCAGTAGACTGTTTACTGACCCATTAATTTTTTATTGCTGAGATATTGACAGCACAGTTTATATTTAACCTTTTTTGTCATATAAATAAATGCAAGAATCTCTTATAGGTGAAGTCTCAGAGAAACAGTTCTCCAGGGCATGCTGCTAATTCAGGTTTGTCAGTGTGTAAATATTTCAAAAACAAGTAAATTATTTTTAAACTAATTTGTTGAGCTTTCTGATGTCGCTTTCTTGCAGCTTAACAGAAAATGAGCCATTCATGACAATGACGACAATAATTAAGGGGTTTCTTTTGTCACTTCTGGCCTGCTGATCAACGTTCACACCGATTGGCAATGCTGAGCTTTAAAAAGATTAATACTATAAATTGAGTCACTTGAATTTGAATCAAGTATTGTTTCAGCAGTTTTATTATCATAAAATAGAGGTGCACCCATGTGGTAATTCCATTATTTCTTATGTACATGTCTGATGATACTAATATAGTAAATAAACATTTATAAAGTGGAGACATTGAGACTACATCTACCTGGATTAGCATTAAAAGAAATATGACATTTTTACTATAGGGTTACAAATGCAGTAAAATAATTAAATGTAGATATGTTAGCACAGTAGCCCTGTGTCACCTAAACATTATACTCTTCTATTATACAATAAAAATGTCATCAAATTTCAGTTTACAATATTGGTGAATTCTAAACAAATTTGTCTGATGTCGATAGTAATTTTTTTACCCAATTATCTGCTGATACCGACATGATGCATATGTCTTTGTGCACACCTATTATTAATTCTTACTTTGTCCTCAACACAGGGATTGGCCAATTAAAAAGTAAGAACAAGCAGCCTGCCTTGCTCACTCCTGAAGTTACTTGCACAGTTCCAGGAAGCACAGAAAAGGAGGCAGACACTACCTCTGCCATCGCTGAGACAGTTAGCTTAGAGCCTGCTGAGGGTGGCAGAGATGCTGTGGAACCTGAGGTCAGTACAGCTCTCTGTGTCTTGTGTTACTATTATATTGCCATAGCTCATATGACAGCAGACCTAACACTAAAATTTCAAATCTTTTTTTAAACTTTGAAATGTTGCTAATTGATAAGGACAGTCAGTAGTGAAAAAACAATAATTAAACATTTAAAATTAAACAGCTGTATTCATTTTCCACTTCAGATAATTGCCCCCAACTACAACCACACTCCTAACTCTGAGATGAGAGATGAAGGTGATGAGGGACTCTCACCCAATAAGAAACTCTCAGTGGACAAAGGGAGTGGGACCTTACTGAGGGACAATGTTTGTCAGGTGAGTTATCAGGCTGATCTTGAGCCATAATAAAAAAAGTTGCAGGAATGATTGCTAAAATGCATTTAATAAAACTGTTGTCAATTTTGCAGTTTGTGACCATTTTCTTAGTAAAATATTTTTACAGAACAAAATTGACCATAAATCTTTTGAGTATATGTAGCCAGTTAACTTAATGATGTGACCTGTGTGTGTATGCGTGCTTCGGAAGGTATGTGAGAAGCAGGGAGAGCTGCTTTTGTGTGAAGGCCATTGCTGTGGTGCGTTCCATCTTCAATGTGTCGGCCTGACTGAGCCTCCGGTGGGGAAGTTTTTGTGTCAGCAGTGCACTTCCGGTGAGCATTCTTGCTTAGTTGCCAGCTGCAGAGACACCTATCAACCAGTATTTAAACTTGTTCTTTATATCCCACACACAGAAACTAAACCTAAGCATGTGTCTGTACTTCCCAGGTATACACGAATGTTTTGAGTGTAAGAAACTGGGAGATGATGTGAGGCGGTGCATTATCCCTCTGTGCGGAAAGTTCTACCATGGGGAGTGTATTGCTAGCCATGCGCCAACTGTGCCATTAAACCGAGGCTTCCGCTGCTCCCTCCATGCTTGCCTTGCTTGCTTCATCACCAATCCAGGCAACCCTTCTGTCTCGAAAGGTATGTGCATGGACCTTATATCAGTCAGCCAGTCATAGAAAGAAATATACATTGTGATAAAAGAAAAACATTATCCTTTAGAAGTTTGGTATCACTTGTCATCAGGGGTACAGATTTGGTCTGACAAGTTAGGGGGACCAATGCTGGGAAGCTATGGGCATTTACCACATTAGTACATTGTCATATATCTAATGGCTTGCAAAAAGACAAAACCAAACAATATTATGCATTTTCTGATATATATATTCAGTATATCAGTTTCTTTCTATTTACAGTGCCAGATTATGTTCCATCATTTGTTGCTGAAATACATTGAGAAAAATTCTACCTGATTTGCATGTTACAATAAATATTTAACAAAAATACTGATAATGATAGATGTGACAAAAGGAGAAAGAGAGACTTAGAAATTAATCTAATGATGTAAGTCAACCATTGATTATAGCACAGTAAATAAGTGTTGCAAACAATTTAATTTATAAAGGCAGGGCAGGTTAGTGCTTCATTTCTGGATTTTGTTGCATTTAATGCACATAACAGTTAGTGCAAAACCTCTTAACAGTGGATCACAAGACAAGTGAATTAGTAGTTAGTCAGACTAATTTTGTTCATGACAAGCAGGATTTAAATTCCTAATTTTCTTAAACTACAGTACACTGTACTGCTACACAGTTCTCGATCCTTTTGAGTCACGACCCAAAAAATGTAGCTTGAGGTTCACAACCTCTCTGCTTGCGTAGAAAATAAATTATTATACACAGTGGCACCCAAATCCAAACAATAACGTGACATTGCTGACTGTAATGAAACAAAACCGTGATTTGTGGCTTTAATTTGATTTAATGTTTCACAACACTTTTCTGAATATGTCTACTTTAAACTGAATTAAGATAATAATAGGCAGAAATGCCTTCTTATGAAGTGACTGAATGGTCTACTTCAAGTGGCTTTTCTGTCAACCCAGTATCAATTTTAATTGAAGTAAAAGTGAGGTTGACTGTTAGGATGCCCATTGGTATCACATAATACTATTTTATGGAAAAGGCACTCTCAAAAATAAGTCAGCAATAATACAGACTATATGCCTTTTGTTCTTGCAATCTTGTGTAAATGTGGCATGGCTTGTTATATTAATCCTTTCAGAAGCTGTGTCCATTCCGATGGACATCACTTTTCTCTGGTGCTTTTTCTATGATTTTTGAAATTGTTCACCCAGACTCAAATGATTCTATGATTTGATGTTGTAACACACAACATTGATTTTTTTAGTGAGGCAGTATTTATGTTGAAATTAACACATACACATGTGTAAATACAGACACACAGTTTATACAAACACATCTATGGTCAAATAAATAAGTGCATCATTACATTACACATGCTTACATCATTATGTAAGCATGTGTATAACTTTCTGCAGCTAAATATGTAAATCCCTTTTTCCTTCAGAATTTTCTTGAACTGCATTTCCTGAATGATTGAAAATTCAAGTTGTATTAAGAGTTTCTTAAAATAATATGGACAGTGCCCATTAATATGAGTATTAACAGAACTGTAAGTAAGCTAGAGTTAGCAAAATACAAATATGTTGTCCCAGACTAGATGATGAGCCATTCAAAAAAAGATTTTGAAATTAACACCCATCATAAAACATGTTGTATAATGTAACATATTATATTGCACAATAACACGCACATATAGCAGAGACAAACATCTTATTACAGTACCACTTGTGGCAACTGAATGAAAGACCTGAATTCAGATAAAGAGGTGTGTCCCAATACTTTTGTCCATATAGTGTGTGTGTGTGTGTGTGTGTGTGTGTGTGTGTGTGTGAGTGCAGTTTGAAATGCGTCATCTTTATGTCTTTTCTATTTTATACAGGACGACTCACCCGCTGTGTTAGATGCCCAATAGCATACCATGCTACAGATTATTGTATACCTGCTGGAAGTGTAATTTTAGCCAACAACAGCATCCTGTGTCCGAACCACTTTGTTCCACGCAAAGGTTGTCGCAATCATGAACATGTCAATGTCAGTTGGTGCTTTGTTTGCTCAGAAGGTCAGTTCCAATGGCTCTTGCTTCATAATAAGACCTAATTTTAGAGCTGTTTACTGTAGGTCTTTTTTGCTAACTTCTTTGCTGAGCTTAAAGCATTTCTAATACCATAATTTAACAGTTGCAAGCCTCTTTAAAGTTTTGTTTACACTGAGACAGTGTGACTGCTGGTTAAAGTGGTGTTTTCTTTGTATTGTCAGGGGGAAGCCTGCTTTGTTGCGAGTCCTGTCCTGCAGCCTTCCACCGTGAGTGTCTTAACATTGAGATGCCGGAGGGCAGCTGGTTCTGCAACGACTGTCGGGCTGGCCGGAAACCACACTACAAGGAGGTGGTGTGGGTTAAAGTGGGTAGATATAGGTCAGCAAAGACAAACCTCCAAGCTTATCCAAAAATATTAGGATTGCTTTTTTTCTTTGTTCACATTTTTCGGTGAACCTTCACTCCGTAGCACAAATTGCCATTGTGAAATGAGTTTTTACAACCCAATGGAAATTTATAGGCTGGGGATCCCCCCTTTGAAGAAGGCAAAAAACAGGTAGCAAAAATAAAATGAAACATAAAAAATACATAAATAACAACAATAAAAGAAGTTGTTCGTATGTGATAGGTATTCTTTGTAAATCCCTTGATTATTTCACTGTCTTCCATTTTCTCTCACAATGGACTTCCCAAGTCTATGAGCTTTATATGATGCAGAGTTGCCAGGTTCACCGATTTCCTACTATTGTAAAATGCAGCGACGGGTAAAAATTATAATGTCTCTGGATGTGGGTGTTTACTTTATGGCAATTAATTTCAAAGTTTACTTTGACCGCCTGTAATGTATGATTGCAGAGAAAATGCAATTAATCATATTGTGAATGTTAATTGATGTTGAATAGCTGGCAACCTAAGCACAGGCAGGCAAGTACAGCAGGCTCCAGCATCTACGCCTACGTCCTGACTATTCTAAATTTGCATGTGGTAAATGCGCTCATTGAAAAGATCTCTGCATGTTCACACTGGCAACTGTTAATTACAGTATTTTTAAAAAAGAAGAACAAGGTTGTTCATGAGTAATGCAAGCAGACAAAGAGAGAACTCAGGCAAGAAGAGAAGATATGGCGGGAAATGAAAGGAAGAGGTTAGCTAGCTAGTGCAAAGTACAAGAAAGAATAGAAGAATGAGTAAGTTCAGGTAGCCGGTGAAGAGACTTAAAGATAGGTGTTACATGATCTTTCTTGGACATGGTAGAACTCTAGCAGCACAACAGTGTTTGGACAGGTTGTAATGCCTGTAATGTAATGTAAGTAGTATACGTTTAGGTTTTGGGGGGGGACCCCTTTTTTAAAAAGAGAAAAAAAACATACAGCGCTGTAAAAAAAAGTATTTTTTGTGCTTCCTTTTTTTCAGTTATGTGGGCCGTTTGCTGCCCTGACCTAATCCTGTCATGAAAAAGACATTTCTGCCTTTAATTTTTAAATATTGCAACTTACTGAGATTATACACAAAACATTGCATTGGACAGTGAAGGGATAGAACTTATTCCAGGACACTTTAAAACACGCTTTCTCCGAATTTCTTTGATAAATACTTAAGCAATTGCCATTAGCTTTTATTACATATTATACATCCAAAGGTATGTAGACATCACAGTGAGTTAGCCGTCTTACATTGAACCAAGTATTGATACAGGCATTCAGTTGTGTGCCGAGAACTTGTATAATCTTCATAGAAAAGCATTGCCAATAGAATGTGATTCTCTGGAGCAGCCACACATGACCCTAAGGTCACCATGCACACTGGCAAGTGTGGGCAAGAGGGGTATAAAGGCCCCCAGCAATGGGCTGTAGAGCAGAACTGCATTCTCTGGAGTGATGGAGCACCATCAAATACCTTTGGGGTGAGTTAGAGTGGTGTTTGTGATCCAGAGCAAATCTTCCAACATCAGTACCTGACCTCACTAATGCTCTTGTGACTGAATGCAAAATCCTAACAGCAATGTCCCAACATCTAGTGTACAGCCTTCCCAGAACAGTAGAGGCTATTACTACAGCAAAGGAGAGGCAAACTTACTATTAGTACCCTTGATTTTAGAAGAAACACTGGATGAGTCTACAGACTTTTGTATATATAGTGTGAGTGTGTTTTGTGTGAACAAGTTTTCTGTTCTTTTTCAAGTACAGAGAAATTGTCTAAATGACCGTATGGTGCATGTGCGGTGGGTAGTGACTAGGTTGAAAAATGCCATATTGAAAAATGTATTCCTTTAAAGAAATCTTTTGCCCTCTGCTCTGTTAGATGGTGGCCTGCAGAAGTAAGTCATCCGAAGAACATTCCAGAAAATATCCTGCGAATGAGACATGATGTTGGAGAGTTTCCAGTTCTGTTCTTTGGTTCCAATGATTACCTGTGGACCTATCAGGCTCGTGTCTTTCCATACATGGAGGGAGATGCCAACAGTAAAGAAAAAATGGGAAAGGGGGTTGACTCCATTTACAAGAAAGGTGTTGTTAAGATTTTCATCTGTACCTGCAAATTAAACATACTTGTCAGACACATATGTAAGATTGATGCCTTTAAGTTAACTGTAGTTTGACTGCTTATTAGCTAATTTTGACAAACTATAATTTAGGCGTATTTTTTGCTTATTCAGCTTTGGAGGAAGCTGCAGTAAGATTCAAGGAACTGCAGGCAGAGAAGGAACTTCGGCAGCTTCAGGAGGACAGAAGAAATGACAAGAAACCTCCACCTTACAAGCACATTAAGGTATCAAACCCCTCAGTTTACAATGGCAATTGAACAAAAGTGAAATGCACAATCAGAAGCCTCTTCTAGACAGTCAAGTACCAGCTAGAAGTGCATTTACCCATGCACTTAATCCCTGTTCTTAACTGATGCCACAGGTGAACCGACCAATTGGTAAAGTGCAGATCATCACAGCTGACTTATCTGAGATTCCACGCTGCAACTGCAAAGCAACAGATGAGAACCCATGTGGAATGGACTCAGAGTGCATAAACCGCATGCTGCTGTACGAATGCCACCCTCAGGTGTGCCCAGCGGGAGAGCGATGCCAGAACCAACGCTTTATGAAGCGCGAGTACTCCCAGGTGGAGATTTTCAGAACGCTGTCACGAGGCTGGGGCCTGCGCTGCTGTCATGACATCAAAAAGGTAGCCTTTGAAAATATAATTGCATGACTGTTCAAATATATGTAAAACAGGCATGCCTTATCATCTTAAACATTTCACAAATTAAGTCTTGGTTAGGGGTGGAGTGAGTGATTTTTAGGTCAGAGCAGTTAATAAAACTTAGTATAATGTATGCTAAGAAGAAAAATCTGGTCTCTGTGTTTACCCTAATCACATGGGGCCAAATGTATTCTCATAAAAACAATACACATCTGGGGACAACTTGTTGAATGTTTGGTGCTGGATTGCAGCAAAAATGAAGGGTATGCCCCCTCTAACACACGCCCCAAATTCCTCTTCCATGCTCTTTTAACATCTGGAGTACAGTCATTTAGCTCAAATGCAAATCCGATTGCTCATTTATCCTGAACACAGCTTCCAATTCCTTTCACTGTATTGTAACTATGAGCAGCAGAGGCCACAGTTACCCATCATCAGCTTTTATCACTGGCCCATTCATGTGTTCTAAAGTTTAAGGAACTTGTTTACTGAACTGTTTTCCCTTGCAAGAGGTAATGTTCATTTTTACCATGTGTAGTGTGTTTACTGCATATGCGACACACGTCTACATATATAATTGGAGTTTTTTGGGAGGATTTTTAGCAATGCTAACTTACGTAAAGTCCACGGGTGAATGACAGTCTTGCTGTCCATTATAGTGTTGATGGGCACACCATTGCCTGCTACTTTGAGCTTTGCCTTCACAATTTTCGAACTTAATTTGTCCTATCCTAACAAGTCTGCATTCCCATCCACATTTAGCCCAAAAGTTCTCATGGGTTTCCCCATAAATCTGGCCCTGTGAAACTGTGATGTCCTCAGACTCTGTAAATGAGAGAAAAAGCTAATTATGTTGAACACGACCATTCAAACAGTCAGGACAAGATGGCTTCTCTCTTGTCAGTCATGTTGTGCAACCATAGCACATAGTAGGAATCCATGGCCTAGCTTGACAGCTGAAAAGCTCATTATTTCTTTAAAGAAATAGTGGCAGAGAAAATTACAAAAAAATGATCGATTTGACTTACAGTGTCAAACACTCAGAAAAGAAAACTAAAAAGAGTGTGATCTTAGAGGAAAACAAAAATGTGAGCATTGGTTGGGCTTTCCAGTGTTGGAGAGCACTAATGGAGTTCATAAACTTTGGTGCTGATCTTGCTTTAAATCTGCTAGGTTGTTACTTTGCATGGCACATTTCATTCTAAACTGTGCAACTGATGTAGCTGAATTGTTAACTGGTGCAGCTGCCTATGAAACATATCAGCTAGCTAATAGTCATACTGAAGGAAAGGGCTGTATTTGTTTGGCTGTGGAGGTTCAAAACAACGTAGAAAAAAAGAAAAAACTAACTAACCAGTAAACTAACCAGTTGTCTGCTGTATGACATCAGGGGGACTTTGTTAGTGAGTACGTTGGAGAAGTGATTGATGAGGAGGAATGCCGAGCACGGATCAGACATGCTCAGGAGAATGACATTGGGAATTTCTACATGCTAACACTGGACAAGGTGACACTTCCATCTCAGACAATGAAAAGTTTTATCTTCTTTACATTTAATTTTCCTCTTGCTTTGCTTTGACTGTTAATGTATTATTTGTATAACATACTCTGTAAACATCGGTAAGGTTTAAAAATGTACTTCTGAATTGATCCTGGTTGTGTGGTCACATCCATAAACACATTTCAACGTGTTGTTACTGCTGGCGGTTGGTAGCAAAAGTGTTAGAGCAGAATATACAGAGGAAAATTTGTAAACATTGTGTGTTTTTGTCTAATCAGAAGCAGCCATTGTATCATTTCAGCCTTGCAAAGAATCCATACATTTATAGCTAATTTTTAAAAAACTTTATACAAGTCCTTGAGGATTTTAGCCCAAGTTTAACAGTTTGTTAGTTTGTTCTAGACTTTTCAAACTGTGCTGTTTGAACGTAAAATAAGTCTTAAAGCCATAGTACACCAAAGAAAACAAGTGGGATAACGAGAGTTTTAAAATTGTCACATAAAAATGTATTATGACTGTTTCGGTACATAAAACAAAATAAAGAAGTAGATCTAATAAAATGCAAGAAAATGTAGTATATGGCCCCTTTTAGCATTCTGGCATTTTAAGATGGCATAAAACAATCCGCTTTTTCAAACGTGTCTGCTTTTTATTAGGACCGTATTATTGACGCAGGACCCAAGGGAAATGAGGCCAGATTTATGAACCATAGTTGCCAGCCTAACTGTGAGACCCAGAAATGGACAGTGAATGGAGATACTCGGGTTGGACTTTTTGCACTGGTAGATATTTCTGCTGGTAAGGAGTGACATCTGATTTTAACTCCTAAATGTAGTGTAAGGACTGGTTTCATAGTACTTTAACCGTTGTGGTCTTTTTTAACAAGTAGGAATATCTCCAATAACTGATTGATAAATAGCCATTGATTTGTCAATGTTTCCTCTGAGCTAGGTACTGAGCTAACATTCAACTATAACCTTGAGTGTCTGGGGAATGGGAAGACTGTGTGTAAATGTGGTGCACCCAACTGCAGCGGTTTCCTAGGAGTGAGGCCAAAGGTAAAGAAACTGCCTTTTTAACCATTTAGTGAGATACCAGTGGCCATAATACTGGAAATCTTAATATTGATATCATGGCTGCTCAAGCAGGCTTTAATTAGAAAATTATAACTTAATGTCTTTGTTTCTCAGAACAATCCTCCATCAGATGATAAGGGTCGTAAGATGAAGAAGAGAGCTCACATGAAACGCAAACCACAGCAGGAACTGACCAAGGAGCGAGAAGATGAGTGCTTTAGCTGTGGAGATGGGGGCCAAATGGTTTCTTGCAAGAGGCCAGGGTGTCCAAAGGTTTACCATGCAGACTGCCTCAACCTGACCAAGAGACCTGCAGGTCAGTCCTTAATAAAGTATAGAGTGCATTTCAGGTATCTTGCATGCCAGAAGGAGCATTACACTGGGAGGAAAATGGTTAATTCTGCTTTTTAATTTATTCTTCTTAAAAAATAATGAAATCTTAAAATGTACTTTGACAGATTTGATGCTATCAGTTACTAGAGAGCTTGTTTTAATAAATTAACAATTTTTTCTTTAAATGTTGACACCACCACCATGTCTTCATCACTAGTGGACCTGTGTGAAGGAATGATAGAAAGTTCTAGCTATTACTCAGGTCTAGTTGCACTGAGGTCTAAGTGTAAATTAATGCAGTTTTGATAATGGGAATTTGTGTGAATGGTTTGCAGGCCGTTGGGAGTGTCCTTGGCACCAATGTGACCTCTGTGGCCAAGAGGCAGCCTCCTTCTGTGAGATGTGCCCCAGTTCCTACTGTGTGGAACATCGAGACGGCATGCTCTTCATCTCGAAGCTAGATGGGCGCCTGTCCTGCAGTGAGCATGACCCATGTGGGCCTGAACCCCTGGAGCCAGGAGAGATTCGGGAGTATGCACCAGAGCACGCTACTGCCTACCCCAACAAAACCCTTCCCCTGTTCAGGGCAGCTAACAATAGTGTACCCTCGCAAAACTATCTACCTGCTCCCACAGGTCCCTCCTCTGTGCCCAGCTCAACACCAGTGATGCCCTCTGGTCCTTCTAGTCCTTCCGTTGCCATTAACATAACTTTGCACAATGCATACTCGCCTATATCCTCCTGTGGGGAGGATAAAGAAGATGAAGAAGTCTTTGTGGAACAGGAGGAAAGGGAATTGGAAGGTGTGAAAATTATGGAGGACACTGAAGGACAAGGAGATGAGAAATATGCTACTCAACGTGAATTGTCAATACAGGATAGAAGAGAAAAAAGAGGTAGGAGAGCTATCCTAGCTCAGTGAATCTGTTCGCTTTTTCACTCTGCTGTCCCAAGGAAGGCTTTAGCTATATACAATCCACTAACAGTATATCTATAGTGTTTTTGTGTCACTACTGCAGTAGACAGTGTCAATGGATAACAGTGGAGTTCAAGCTGCTTGATGGTAGCAAAAGACAATGGACCTGTTGGTCTTAAGTGGCTGATTTAATCCATTTTTTGGTTTATCTAATCTCAGATCTGTTTACATGTCATTTTCATACTGATGAAAACAAAGACTTCAGAGTTTTAGTGAGCACTGTTATGTAGTTGACAGTGTAAAACATGAAAGCTGAAACTTTAGATAATTAGTGTTGAAAAGGTGTACAACTCTTTTTTTTATCTGGATGAACTGTTTTTAGAGGAAATCACAGATATTCAAATCATGATTTAAAGTATCCCTGTTCATGAAATGATTTTCCTGAAAATCATTTTCTGTTGTGTTCAGATCTGTATACAAGAAATCTTCAACACAGAGGGCTGCAGTTGCTCTCATAAACATGAATGATCACAACTAAAAAAAATAGTTGTGATCAGTTTTTCAAACTAAAAAAGGCATAGAAAGGTGTGATCATACTTCAGGGCGAAATAGGTCTGCTTTTGGAAATGCCTGAGCCTGTGATGCATACACTAACGAAAACACTTGAAGTGCGCATTCAGTTTTTGTGTTTATAATGCCGTTTAGGCTCATACTGAGAATGATGCTAGTTACAAATTGTAATTTTTTGATGGACTACAATGAAAGTGGCTTCCGGTAACTTGAGTTATTATATGTTCTAGTGCCCCATTCAGTTGTCTTGCCTTACCAAAACTTATTTTTTAAGACTTAAAGACTGTTGCTTTCATGTTTAGAGTTCCACTAAGATCTAAAAGCTTTTGGTATATTTACAAATATAAATGCATAGGCTATCGAATGGCTATGAAATGTTAAATTTAGCTTATGTCATGCATTCCATACAGTGATTATTTGCTGAATGTGGCAGTGGATGTCCATGATAGCGGAGTTTTGCGCATCCTCTCAAATCAGGAAATGAACTTAAAACTTGTTGATTTTATTATGATTTAAGGACTAAGTGGCCTAAAATGTATGTTGGTACCTATTTACAATAACACTATCACACAAAAGTAAGATCCTTAGCAGAGCTCTGGCCTTTTGTTTTAGTTATAAGACATAAATTTACAAAGGATTCAGCCGAATCCACCTCACATCTCTTACATGTACTGCGCCCACCTTTTGTTCTTTATGCCTTTGAGCAAATGCGCACAAGAAAAAAGACTTTTGATACAGTGCTGTACTACTAAGTATAAGTTTGGACAAATACCAAACATACCCTTGACTTTAGCATCACCTGCTGGTAAGATTTTAAAAAACTACAGCGCCAGATTTCCATCCAAAATTTATACCTTGAACGTATCTCTGAGTGTTGAGTAATGTGTATTATATTGTGTCTATAGGTTGCATAAACTGGCTGCCATTAAGTAGGAGCAGGAGTGATTGACCAATTTATTGTGTATATTTGTACATTAAAGCTCTATACAAAAGCCACATAGCAGTTTCTGCAGCTAGCTAACTTTAGATGTTCTGGTGTACAAGTTCCCGCAAGAATTTTGACAATAACATTTCATAATTTTGAGTGACGTTTCATCGAAAGTTTTTACTCTTGATAGCATAGTAAAAGTAAAAGGCAAATAATGAGGCAAAAAAGACAATGGGATTCATCACTACAATCTGGCAATGGGCCGATGTATTTGATTGGGCAGATCTGATTTTGGATTCTCTGCATGTTTGCTCGCTGTCCCCCGTTTAACAGATTGGTTTACCAAAAAGTGATGTGGCACAAAGGTCATAATCAAACAGCTAGTGTGTTGCACTTGTAGTAACATTACATGTTTTTAACTGCACTCATATGTACACAGACAGCTCATATTTTTACACTCCTCCGAGAACCTGCCATTGTACTGCTTTTGGTCTGCTTCATGGTGGTGTATCAGCCAAAAGACAAAAAACAAAACAAAAAAAAAAATCCGCTGCCTTGTGAGAGAATTTAATTGTGCTGTAGCGCTTTGTACATAATAAATGACAGTACTTAAAGTTTCACAATCTTGGTGGAACACTTTTTTTTCTTTAGCCAGTGTTTCGGGCAAACACGTATTGTGGTTGACAGTTGACAACATATTTCATATGACCACAAGTATTATATTTATATGTGTGACGTAAACTGAAAAAGGGACATTATTGAAATGCAAGTGGTTCTTGTGATGGGCCCCAATCACTCCAACAAATACTGGCTTTGTAAACTAATTTTCTGTGACCGAAATGGCAGATTATAGGGTCCCAAAAAAGTATTTGCTCTCTTTAATAAGCCTTAAGCTGATCCTTCTTGTGCTTCATTACTGCTTATTATCTGATCACTCACAAGAAATCTATAAAGGCGACAATTTCATCCTCCACAATGGATCACAATGATCATCTTATCAAAGTAGTTCAGCTTTGCGTGTGCAACTTGGAGCGTGGAGTATGTACAGTGTAGCTACAGCACGTGTAAGTGACTTACTGGTAAAACAGAAGATGACCGAGTTGTGTAAAGACTTGTACTTTAGTGTCAATTGCACTGGGGTTATTCATAAGACCAGGTCATGACAACACATGGTTCACTGCAAATACACAGTTGGCACAAAGCTCTGACACAGGTTTTGCCTGTTGGATATCTGGCAAAACAAATATAGTTGAATATACCTTGATACAAACATGTCAATGTATAACCCCCAAAATAAGTATTCTGTACAGGCGCAATATAAGCTGAAAGCAAATTAAGGCTGCATGTACAAAGGTCAGATGACTTTTCACATTGACAAAGACAAAACCCCAGTTCAGAAAAACCTAATCCGTAACAAACCACAGTAAAATTAATTTAAAAGACAGATTTTTCTGTCTGGTTCCATTTTTCTGTCTTTTTTTTCATAATAATGTAAACATGAACATCACATTCAACAAGCGCTGTAACTCAGCTCGGATTTGGGTAAATGGAAAAAAGGCAAAATGTCAGCACTGTTTCACAGCCACTTCAACCTGCAGAAGGTCAGGCTTCCATGCATTGAAGGTTTTGCCTCATTTCAAACCTAACAAAAACTCACCAAACCCACCCTCCAGCTCATCTAAATTCAGGAAGGTGCAACGGTCAGAGAACACTATCCCAGTGAGATGTCTCTCAAACACCATGTTACCATGAGACAATGAGGCTTGGGTTTGCCTTTACCTACTGCTTTATCTACTGCTACTTGTGTGAGAACTATCACATCAGCAGAAACATTTGCAGCTTGTCCTGTAGTGGTATAATTGTTTCAGCTGAAAAAGAAAATAATAAATACTGTCAAACATCATCAGCACTTAATCAGAACCAGTTCTATCAAACCAAAGCATAATCTTATTCATTTTAAGAGTAGTAGCAAAACTGGTCTCAGATAAGTCAAAAAGCAACTTCTCACAACAGCTACACCCTTAGCTTACCAGCGTGAAATGATAAATAGAACCAGATAAGTCAATCTTTACCATGTGTAAACTTGATGGTCATGTGACCACCTTACATGAGATGGTCACAGTCCACAAAATGTCCAACAGAAGTCATTAAAAGAAAATCTTTCAAGGCAATTATGCTGTGGGGAAAAAGGCCATCAGGAACAGTGGTAATGATCACTTCCATGCAATTATGGTTGCAGTTTTTTTTCCCCGCCCCCTTTTCAGCAAGGGGGAAGTATGTCAGCTTCCAGTTTATCCAGTCTTCATTATCAACAAGTCTCATGAAAATAATTGGGTTTCATAACGCAGCTTGGCTACCCATATACTCCAGAACAGTCTTTGTTTTTAAAATAAGAAGGGAGGGCATCCAGTATTTCCAGGTGACACAAGGCAACACAAAAGTGTCCTGTGTTGGGTCAGTGGTGGCAACAGGTGTAGAGATAAGAGTCTTTCTTCTGGCCGAGGTCCACTCCTTTCTCGTCTGCAAGAAATGGAAGAAATATTGGGGCAATTGGATTTGTGAAGACCACACCTACAAGGCACTGTGTCGGTAGAAAAGTAGTAACATACAAAATCTATCCATCATTTTTTAAAAACCCTTCAATTGTTATACTGCACCTAAAATGAAAAAAGATTCCCACCTTGCATGAGCTCAAAAGCTGAGTTACTGAAGTCCTCTGCTATTTTCATGAAGAGTTCATCTGTAACAAAGAGCAAAATTTTAAACCTTTACTATAACCACGTACACATTTATTGCCTAAAAGCCATTCTGAAGTACTACTTACCAACATTGTTTCCTGTTTTGCTAGAAGTCTCAAAATGCTGTGCTCCTATTTCTGAGGAGAACACAAAACAGGCTTGAAATGCCAACAAGCAACAACTAATTACATTAATTAAAAACTTTAAAATGTTTGAATGTTTAATGTAAGCATTTACCATCTGCAAAGTCTTGTACATCATGGTAGTCTACTTGTCGTGCACTCCTGTCGGCCTCAATGAGGTCATTCTTTGTACCGCACAGATAGATCTTGCAGTGCTATTAATCAAGAAAAAGGGCAGTGGTCACAGAGAGCACAGTGTGGTAGATTTAACATGCACAGAAATCACATCATGACTGTTTAGTTTGTGTACCTCTTCAAAAGTCTGCAATTCCTTCACCCAGAACCTGGCCCTCGAGAAGCTGCTGCTGTCCGTCAGGTCTAAAGAGCAGTGGTTCAGTAGATCATGACGTTAAAGATAAGTACAGGATGTTTTCCTATAAAACGCTAAGCTGTAAATGGCTAGAAAGATAACATTAAATGAAAACACAAAGTGTGCTGCACTGTATTTGCTACTACTACTGCTTAGATGGATCACTATAAAGTATTTCATAAGAAATCAAATCAAACATTCTTCTATAGTAAATTCCTCTTGGAATACAAGTAACAGCTGAGGTGAAACACAAGCTCCCGTTTCTTTAAGGAGAATGAAAGTGTACCGTAACAGACAATGGCAGCTCGGGCTCCTCTGTAGTAAATTCTACTCATGGCTTCGTATCGTTCAGATCCAGCTGTGTCCTGGACAGAGGGGAAAAATGTGGGTTCTTCTAAGATTAATGTCTGTGATGGAGTCACTGAAAAAAGCAAACTTGACAGTGTTAGCACTCACCCATATCCCCAACGTAATAACTTTGTCACCAACGTTGATGGGCTTTGCAACAAATGCGGCTCCAATGGTCTATTGAAGAAAATACAACAGTCTGGTGAGCATTTCAATTCAATATACTTGGTGTTTATCAGGAGGGTAACAACACAGTTTTGAACTGTATCATCGCATTGTTGCTAGCATGTCAACTCAGGGCTAGCAAGCTGGCTCGTAGTATTATAAAGTACAGCTTTTTTTGTATTAATATGCAATCTGACTCCCCTATGCCATTCTAAAGTTTCTATACTAGTTTTATAATGTTGAATGCTCTAATAAATTGAAAATAAAAACAGAGCGTAGCATATTAAGACAAACAGGTACTTCTAGCCTTTGCTGTTTTGGAAAATGTACTGTACTGTGAATTTTGTGATTCGTTACACTTCATTATGCAAATTTTAAAATGACACAGTGGTTTAATTTTGTAGGATTTTCTATATATTGCTTTGCACAAAGTCCTAGAATATAGTACAAATAACCTAGAAACTGGCAACATTTTAAATGGGAGGTAAAGATGGCAGCATCTTTCTCCATCACTGTGATAGACGTTCAGACACAACAGAGCACTTAGAATTCTCTCTCTTTCCCCTCAAATACTGTAGAAAGATACTGTATAAATAAAATGAACAAAAAAGAAGTAAGTAGTTCAAAAAGATGCCAAGCTTCACACAAACACATGAAGAGGAATGTGTTGGTTGCCATTCATGGTAGAGGGGTACACACATGGAGTTGTAAGGCAAAATAGTCCCCAAAGAAAAATTCTGATTCATCACTATTTTACCATCAACATTACATATAAAAACTCAGAAGACGTGCAGGTTCACTGGTGGTTTTGGATAATAAATAAAATGGCTATATTTGTGTTGTAGACATTGTGACCCCTGGTTCCTATCACCACCACTGTAAAGGAATCAGAGCCTGTACGTTTCTCTACAATGAACCATTTCACATCCAACCACTCTGAATGAATGTTTACATCTCAAGGACTGAACTATTCTGAAATTTAAAAAAAAATGGTGGAATTCCCCTTTAATAGGACACAAATGATATATATTTGTCTTGGCTTGACGTATTTGTTTCAGAGCAGGTTTTAGCCTCCTGGCCCTTACTCACATTTTGATATGGTCCAACAAGAAAGCGATGATGTACGTATCTCTCCACCAGGCTGGTTTTACCCACACTCTCCTTTCCAAGCATGACCACCTTGGCATCCACACGCATGGCGGTCATATTCTTACTTGTCCTAATGGAAAGAAAACTGAAGAGAAATCGATGTTGGAGTTACTCCACTTGACAGACTATGTAACTGTCCTCCTCAAACAAAATGAGTACACTTAAAAAAAGATGGTTCTTCAAGAGTCCTTTAGTAAAGGAAATTGTTCTAGGTAGAACCATGAGATCTATATATAGAACCATTTCATGCCTAAATGGTTCCTGGCGTGGTGATTGATAAGAATGTGCTGCATATGGTTCTGTACAGAAAAAAACCAGGGTTCTTCTATTGTTACAAGCTTGATGTCGCAACAATGGAAAAACTCTTTTGCTGCTTTATAGAACCATTTTCGAAAAGGTTCTATACAGAACCATATACAATACATCTGCAGTCATTTCCTTTACTAAAGAAACCTTGAACAATTATCTTTTTAAAAGTGTTGGCGAAAATCAAATTTCAGACAAATACTTAGATACATTAACATGTAAGTTGTAACATGTAAGAAAGAAAGCTCATGAGATTATCTCACAACAATCATGAATAATCTGGAAGACAACGTCCAGTCGGCCTTCCTTCCACATAATGACCACATCACCTTGTCCATCTTAAGCAGCTAAATACACACTGGACTTACACAGTATTTCACAATACCGCTCATTTCCACACTCAGGGACATCTGCAGATGACTGTATTCGACGGAAAGAACACCATCTACACTAAAACTGACTTAGCAAGTCCTGTTATTGTACAGACACCATGGACAGTAAGCTGCTCACTACTTCTACATATCTGAGCTGTCCTAGGCTGACTTTTACTCAGCACACTACGTCATGCAGTTAGTAAGCAAGGTTGTTTCCCACTTACCTCTAAATCAGTGGACAGAAAAGGTTGATAGTTGTTGTGGTTTGCTATTCGCTACTTATTTTGCTAACACAGCTAACTGAATCCACCTGGACAGCCAGTCAGTCTCGGGATAAAGCTCTCAGCTAATGTACACATAACAAACACATCTGCATCGAAATCCACCTTATAATGTTGCGCCGGCTTCGGTATCAGTTCACTTAGTCAACAACCCTCGGGATATGCTAGCTACAGGCTAGCTAGCTAACCTAGCTTATTCTTACACTTGTCAGAAAAGTGCTGGAGATGATCTCTGATAACGGAATTTATTCGTCTAAGGTATCGGACTTTTTCTTTGGCGAGATATGTCCAAAAATAGGTGGCCGTTTAGCTTCAGCCTCCCATTAAATCAGCCCCTCGCCCACCTAGACAGTATTTTTAAACACCTCCAGTAAAAATAAACACTCCTCCTCGCCCTCCTGGAGGAACTGAAGCAGTCATTTAGGGCGCGTCCCAAAAAGTGCCATTTGGCCTCCTCTGCTCGTCTCCCCCTTTTACCGTGACCCGGAAATATTTCCGAATGTCTCTTGTTAAAACGAGATCAGGTGCCAGAATGAAACGTTACCATCTGTACATCTGCTGTAAACATACCTACAGTCCTCGTACAGTGGTGCCGCAGTAGAGTTTGACTTTCCTTTTTAAAGACTAGGAGAACTCCCTTCTAATGATGTATCTTAAAGGTAAGGTAGGAAATGCTTTAAAAAAATGGAGAAAAAAAACAAGCAATTTAGGGATTTAGAGGCAGGCTGTTTGAATTTTTATATATAGTTACAAATGAACAGTTACAAATATATATTTTTTAAACCTGTTTCTTTAAATCATTAGCAATGCTATCAGTGTCAACAAATTATTATGAAAACAGCAAAAAAATAATAAAACAGAGATACATGGAGACGAAAACATTTGTCAAATTCGTTCCACAATAATAATAATAATTAATAATTTAATGATTTGAGATCTCTTTACTGCCTTTTACTGCAGTATATTTCCTGAAGGGGGATTTCTCCTGTTCTTTTTCTCCTTGCTCACTTGTGAGCTCTAGGGCAGAGAGTGAGGCGAGGAGGCGGTTTGAGACGCGCCCTCACAGCAGCTGATACAACCGGAAAATCTCTCGTGATAAACTGTCCTGCAGGGGGCGCATGCGCCCTGCGTGACAGGACGTGACCTCATCAGCGTAGGACTTGTGGGAGGGGAGAAAGGAACGACTGTGAAAATGGCGTCTCCGAAGACTCTGCCGAAAGATGCACAGGTAGCTCTTCACCTCCAAAACACGGCTCTACTCGCGCTCAGCCCGCGTTTCTCTGAGTTAAAGCATTGACGAGCAGCCGGGCGAGATTAAGGCGGATGCTTTGATGAGCGAAAGCCGAAATGTTGGGGCTGCGCGCGCTTGACTGACAGACAGACAGACGGACAGAGAGGATGCCGCTCTGTGTGAATCGAGTTAACGTTACCTTAATCAGCCCAGGCTGCTCTGTTGTGGTCGCTGTCCTGCTGTTAGACAACTTTACAGTAAAGACGAAGCAGGCAGACATATCCAGTGGACACCAGTGAGATGTGTCTGTGCAGACGAGTAGTTCAACTTCGTTTTTCTGTTATTCGGTGTTTCTTTTCATGCATTTGCATTTCTAACATGGTTCATACTCTGTTTTTAATCAAATTAAGGTTATGATTCAGATTTTGAAAGACATGGGAATCACGGAGTACGAGCCCAGAGTCATCAACCAAATGCTGGAGTTCACGTACAGTAAGTTCTTGAAGCTTTTATTTTTAAACCCATATTGCACGAACTCCACCGATTTTTCTAAATTTCTGCACAGTTAAGTTGTTAAGATGTAAACAAAGTCATTCAGAGTGTTTGTGAAATGCTCAGTTCTAGAAAAACTTACTGAGTCAGAACTGTTCACAGTGGTGGTGATGGGAACCAGACGTCTGAAACATGTGATGTCTCCAAAAGCCTGCTGCCTGAGACATTATTTTACAATACTTTGGCTTAAAACGTGAATATGTAAATATACACAGGGCAGAGATGTGCTTACAGGGTGTTGTGCAGCAAATTAGTCCCTAAAGAATCTTTTTTTCCAGATTTACTGCTGTTTTACTGTTATCAACATTACACATAAACACTGTGTAGTTTCACTAATTGTTTTGGGCAGCAAAATAAATGGTTATATTTGCACTGTGGGCATCACAAGCCCTTGGTTCCAATCACTATAACTGTGAAGACATTACAGTTTCACATTAAACCTTTCTGACAAATCTCTTTGTTTACATCTCAACAGTTCAGTCATACAGGATTTTTGAACTGTGTAATTCCCTGATTACAACTTGCAACAATGAAAAAGTTCAAAGTGAAATGGGTCAGTTTGCTTACTGCTCTGTTACTTTTTTGTAGGATATGTCACAACCATCATTGAAGATGCCAAAATCTACGCCACCCATGCTAAGAAGTCCAGTGTTGATGCGGATGACATAAGGTTGGCTATCCAGTGTAGGATGGATCAGTCATTCACGTCTCCACCGCCAAGAGATGTGAGTCATTCTTTAATATGCTATTATTGTGCCAAGATCTCTGCCACAAGTCCAGCATTTCTTGTGAACTGAAGGGCATTAATAGGGAGTTTGTCTCTCCTTTGCTGCAGTAACAGCCTCTACCTTTCTAGGAAGGCTTAACACTGTATGTTGAAACACTGCTGTGAGGTGTGAGGATTTGATTGCATTCAGCCACAAGAGTATTAGTGAGGTCAGGTGCTGATGTTGGATGATTATTTCTGGGTTACAAATGCCACTCCAAATCCAACAATGGGATGATACTCCATCACTCCAAACAACACAGTTCCACGGCCCCACAGTCCAAAGTAGGGGGCTTTATATCCCCTCTAGCTGACACTTGCCATTGAGCATCATGTGCAACAGCATCTTATTGTATTGGCAGTGCTTTTCTATGGAGATAGTTCAGTTGAACACCATTGTCAGCAATTGGTGCACCTTAAAGTACACTGATGTTCACTAATTTGAAGGATTCTCTACAAACCTTTGGATATATATTGTAAGAGTACTGCAAAAACATCTAGCAAAATTCATTCTTGATAAAGCAATGTCTTCTTTTTTTAGTTTCTGCTGGAGGTTGCCAGGCAGAAGAATCAAACCCCTCTGCCCTTGATTAAGCCCTATGCAGGACCACGGCTTCCACCAGATCGTTACTGTTTAACTGCGCCAAACTACAGACTCAAGTCTCTGCAGAAAAAGGTAAGTCTGTTTAAAATATAGACTTCACATACAAGTGTTGGTACTGTCTGTCAACTTGTGATTTTTTGGAGACACCTTTTTTGGTAAGCAGAACTGTTTGACTTTTCTTTGTAGACTTTGTGTGAGTGTCTCTGTTTATGTTGGTGCTGCATTTGTCCCACAGTCCAAACACAGTTTTGTGTTTTTATGTGCTAAGAGTAGTGCAGTGTTTTCCATTCATAGGCCAAATGTATGTGCCTTACCAAGTATCCAATTCTCAGTTTTCATTTTGTCCCATTTCAGCAAATTCCAAAGTGAAATATTTGACATTTTTATGAATTAAGTGTTTTTACTAAACCTTCACTTTAGCCAAGTCTGTAGGATGATTCACATCTAAAAACAAATTCATGGGAGGTTTAACATTTAGTTATTTGATGCCTTATTCAAATACCTAAAAAGTAAGAAAATGCTATGATGAGCTATGATATCTATATATCTATATATTTCAGTACCCATGCACTTCCCTCCACCCCAATGATGCCCCACTGTTTTTTTCCTTTTGTTTATCGTGTGCTCTAAAATAATAATTTAGATCTTTTCATGTGACTTAAAATACAGTTCCTTAAACCGGTGCATTAATAACTTACTTGTATTATACTTGTCAAATTAAGTGTGTTTACATGCACATAATAATTATTTGATTATGGCAGTGGTTATGAAAATATTTATTGTTTTTGTAATGTATTATCTCACAGTATGCATTATTGTATACATTTAAATAAAAAATAAACATTATTGGTTTCATAGTTTGTAATAATACTTTTAAATGTGGCACCACTGTGTCTGTTCCAACTTACAACTTTAGAAAAACTAAATGTTCTGATGCATTTTCTGTATCATGAAACTGCCGTAAAGTATTTTGGTCTTATATGTTTGCCATATCACTCACTTTTAGCAGTTACCAGACTATGTGCTTATGTATACAGTAGGGGTGTAACAATGCATCATGGTATCACAAAACTGCAAAACTGGGACAAAGTACCAATGCAATGTGGAGAATGGACACAGTGTAAAAAGTGTTTTCAGATATGTCAGGAAAAAGCCATGCATTAGACTTCAAAAAATCTAGTAGACACCTGGGTCTTAGCCCAAGAACTGTGTATCATTAATCTGGTATCATGTTTTTACACTGGACTTATGCAAACAGAGCCAGATAACCAGAAGAGCTGCCCTGAGATCAGTAAAGCTTAAAAAAGCCATTATGTGCAATTTGCAACCATAAAAACCCCAAATAAATATTTGCCAGTAATTTGCCAGTGGATTCCTTGAATTTTACAGCATGTCCTCTCCTTTGGTCTTTATTGGTGGGCTGCAAAGCAGCTTAAGAGCTAAAGCACACACATTGAGAGAAGATTGCACAGTTCAGTTAGTTTTATTTATGGCATGGTTCTGATCTATTGTCTGGTGTTGTTGCGTAGGTGTCCTCATCTGCGGGTAGAATAACAGTGCCACGGCTCAGTGTGGGGGCAGTTTCCAGTCGGCCAAGCACACCAACACTTGGTGAGTTCTCCTGGGCATTCTGATAACAGAATAAGCCCAAGTGCACTGCAATGTACTGCCTACTATTACAATAGTTGAGTCATGCTTCTCTCTTCAGTTGTCAGAGTTGTAAAGGTATGCTGTTTTCCTTCATTAGGAAAGATATTTGTATTATACAGAAAAAATCATAAACCTAGTGGGTAAAGTAGAGGTGCATAGTTGTAATCAAATAGTTGGTTACCAGTTCCAGGTGCCAGTTTTTAAGTACTGAAATCATTGTTAACGTATTCATCAAAAAAGCCTCCTTTTATGAAGGGCTGGTCTGAATAATCTGAATACTCAAGTACTTGTTCTTTATGTTGTTATTAGTTTCTTATTTTTTCCATTTAGAAGCATCATCTTTTATTAAGCTATAAAAAGTGTCCAAACTACAATAAACTTCATCAGCAAAATCCTTAAGTTAGAATAGCTATTGCTAATATATATATATATATATATATATATATATATATATATATATATATATAAAATGTTAGCAATAAAAGAATTACACCTGCTTTAGTTGGTGGCCTCCCAGGCCACATCATCTCAGCTACCAATTTTCAGATGGCCATAGAACCTAAAAGAGCAAATGTTCCTGAAAAAACAGTTGTGGGAAAACTTTGACGATGAAAAATCCTCCTTGTACAATTTGCAGTAAGAGTAAGAGGAGGCACGACAAGTTTAATGAATTTCAAACTAGTAAGTAATGAATCTTATCCAACTGTTGAATCCACATTGCCTCCAGCCCTGCTTTGTCATATAACCACTTCAGGCTGGAGTAGGAGCTCCCTTCTCTCCCTATAGTTAAACAATTTTAGCAGGTTTAAATCTTGACTGACACAAATAACAGAATAACTTTTACCGCTGTATCAGTGAAGTCTCCTTCCCCCACAGTTAATACAGTGCAGGAGCTGCAGGGCAACAAGATCATAAAGTGTAAGTAAATTATTATTTTAAAAGTTGTGTAGACCGCTGTGAAATTGACTCGGCACATAAGAGCGACAGGACGCAAGGGCTCACATTTTAGGTGACATAGGATATGTGTTGGGCGCAGCCAACGGGACTGAAACGTCGATTAAAATGGAAGCGTCTGATCCATCAGGACACTGTTGCCGTCTACTGGATAGATTTTGAACTGCATTAATGAACTGATTACATTATGAACCACACCAATCAAGGTAAAATTATGGTGATTGTCTTAAAGGTGGTTTTGAGAATGAGTTTTTTTAGGTAGTCCTTGGAAAGCAATATTCCAAACCTGTAAAGTGCTATTTGGGCCAGCCCTAGTCTTATGTGTCAATACTGAATAAAGCTGTATGTTCAAGTGTTTTTAATAATCAGGTTTTGATTATTTCCCCAGCCCTAATTTTGTGTTTTTCTGTCTGTGTTTTTCCAGGTACCCCCACTGTGCAGACCATGGGCAGTAAAGTGGGAACTCCTGTGTCACTGACAGGCCAGCGCTTCACTGTCCAGATCCCCTCCTCACAGACTCCCTCTGTCAAGACAGGTCAGTGCCAGTTTAAATACTAATGGGTGACGTCATGAGTGACTGCATTTTATGTGATGTGAAAACTATGTGCCTTCATACAAGTAGTTAATGTGACATTTGTCATATTCACAGCTACCCCAAGTACTCCAGGTGCAGTCCAGAACGTCCTGATCAACCCCTCTCTCATTGGCTCCAAGAACATCCTCATTACAACCAACATGGTGTCTCAGAACTCGTCCAGCGACTCAGGCTCTCTGAAAAGAAAGCATGAAGACGACGACGACTATGATGCTTTATGACCCTGTGTATAAGTTGTAACAGTAGTCTAGATGCTCATTGCTAGATAAGCTTGTAAATATATGATAATCCTTTTGAGTTTTGCTTTGTCAGCGCCATCACTTTGTTTTTGATTATACCAGTAATAGCAGGATCTTGACCATTTATTGCTAACTTTTGTATGTAAAAATAAAATGTAGCTGCTAAACCCATTTTATTTTGTTTCTCAGATGATTTGCAGAATGATTGTTAATACATTAAAGAAATAAAAACTTGGAGCAATTTCAGATGATTAGACAGATTATGGCTTCAGTTTGAAGTACTATGAATTGACTGAGTAAAGGCAGTAGTTGACCAATAGGGGGAGATAAATCTAAATCATTTTCAGTTAAAAGGTGAACCTTCGTGCAATTATTTCTAGACCTGTTTTTTTTTTTAGGATTTTAATTAAGACCACACAGCTATTTTCTGTTTACACCAGTTATGAAGGATGGTATTTATAAAGGGCTGAATATTAGGGGTGGGGGATTAGCGTGTGATATCAGAATTCAGATAAAGTGAGCCAGTTATCTCTTGTTGTCTTAATTCTTTCTCTCCTTCATGGCTAATGCTCACAGCTTGGATGTTTTTGATCAAAATCCAGATCTTTCTGATGAGTATGAGGGAAATATATTGAAACATCTCTGATATTTCTGATATCCTTATAATGTAATTGGAAAGTTGAAAGAAAAAAGGCAAAACTTCACTGCATTAAGACTTTCTTACATTGGTGTACTAACATTCAACATGTAGCCAATCACTCAACTTAAATAGCATCTGATCAGCTAACAAATATTAAGGGTCAGTGTTCAGTACTGTATACTTTCTTTATGAGAATCAATACCCACATGAAAATATTAATACCAAGTGTTTTCTTTCAGTTGTAAACTGAATCTATGTTTTTATGAAACTTAAGGGACATTTGGGCCAAAATAAAAAAAAAATATCATTGCTAAGTCTATTTTGAACATGCCTACTTCTCTCCTACAGTGGTGCCACACTAATCTCTGGAGTGACATTTCCTGGTTTAAAGACCAGGAAGACCCCCTTTTGTAGCTGTATCTTGAAGGTGGAAGTAAAAGTGAAAGATTGAAAGACTACACGTGACTGAGGATGGCTACTTGTGGTCTGACTGTTGGGAACTTGTTTCACTAAGTGGCCAATTCAACTGCATTATTCCTTCAACAAATCATTTTTAACGACCACCTGAGGTTAGCGCTGTCACAGTGCCACAGGTGTGTTCGTTAGCCTCGGTCAGTGGCTAGCAGTCAGGATCTGTAAAGCGCTGTATGAGACTCCCATTGGTTGAATTATGTATTTGTGTAATGCATGCTGGGTATTGTAGTGAGGGAAAATATGAAAACATAAAAAATGACACAAAATCGTGAATTCTGATGCAACTGAGGGGCTCCAGTGCTGTTGTAGACAAAAGACACAATAAACGCTAATTCAGAGTCCTTGAATGTGTCTTTGCGCCTGAAAATGTGAATAAGTGATTGTAGGAAATAGATGTGTAGAACAAAAGAAATACGTTCACCTCTGCCCTTGGCCTCATACAGACACATAAGACGGAATGCTCTGTGATGATCGTATTGCACGGTTTGCAGTTTTTATTATATATTACATGATCAATAACAGGTTTTAAGATGAGGAATTTAACCTTATAACATGGAACCTGTGAGTTGGACCAATCAGAAGCAACCAAACACCCAACTACTGTATACATGAAAACATAAAAACAACTGATGTCAGTCTGGTACAATACGTTCAGTGTTCAAGCCTCAAGCCAGGAAAAGCGTATATGCTGGTCTTCTTGGCCAAAAAAAACTTGAACCTCAATTTTTAGAAAGTTTGAATCATAATATTGGTAAGAAAAATCGTTGCCCAAATCGTTCAGGTCCAGCAATAAGACTTAAAAGTGTCGTTGTCTGAAATCAGGATGTTAACCTTAAGGTTAATAGGGATTAGTTCAGATCTAAAAGGATATTAGCGGCCTGTCCCTAAATAAATACTGACTGTATGTGCTGTAAACCCTCTCAGTCCGTGTCTTTTCTCCTGCAGGGTTACTGCAGTAAACGCTGTGCTGGACTGTAGACGGTCCTGCTGGGCTGCTCCCGCTCCGTGTGGTGAACTCAGTCACGCTGATCTCTTCACTTTCGCTCGCTCACTTACTACAAGTCCCATGCGTGTAAATACCCAGCCATTGCATAAGCGGATCGATTCGCCTCCTCATTGGCTGACACAGCTGTCAATCACAGCGTTCGCAGCCAATGGCCTCGCTCGCTTCTCTCAAACAGTGGCGGCCATGTTGTATCCGCGGGTGTGTGTATGTACTACGAGCTGCCGGTGTGAGTATGTGTGAGACCGAGCGCTCCAGACCAGACGTGGCTCGAACGTACGCGCTCTAAACCTTCGCCATGAGCCGTCCGTCCTCAGCGGGTGGAGCGGGCGGAGGACTGGGAGCCGGTAAGGCAGGAGGAGGGAATAAACACGGCGGCTCCGGAGGAGGAGGCGGTGGTGGAGCGGCTGCCGCCGCTGCTGCAGCCGCTGCGGCCGCGGCGGCAGCAGCAGCAGCGGCGGCGGCGGCAGCGGGGGTTTCGGGCTCGGTCTCTGGCTCCAGTTCCGTGCCCGCGGCCGCCGTGGCCTTGCCCACCTCCGCCGCCGCAGCCGCTGCTCTGCCCGGACAGTCGGCCGAGCTGACGGCGCTGTTCGAGTGTCCGGTGTGTTTCGACTACGTGCTGCCGCCGATCCTGCAGTGCCAGGCCGGGCATCTGGTGTGTAACCAGTGTCGCCAGAAGCTGAGCTGCTGCCCGACGTGCCGGGGCCCTCTGACACCCAGCATCAGGAACCTGGCGATGGAAAAAGTCGCCTCCACGCTGCCTTTCCCATGTAAGGTAAGAGAAGAGGAGAGAGGAGAGGAGCTCGGCTCTCGGTTAGCTTAGCGGAGTTACTGCAGGAGGCAAAGCGAAAGTTCAGCAGACTTCATATAGGTTACTTCCCCCTCAGACTGTGAACTGACGAACGTTTGAAACACATCGTGGCAGTTTTTTTCTTTCTTTACTTTATCTTTCTATCTTATCTCACTCTTTTACTGGTTTGACGGCGCCGAAATGAGCGAAGTGATCTGGGAGGAGTTGAGGAGGAAGTGTGTGTCCATTAGCTGAAGTTCATGCTACAGGTGTTTGCGTGTCTGACAGTGGGATGCTCTGAAATGAAAAACCCTGTTCTGTACCAGTTTGACACCACCTGTTGTGTATTTACACCAGTCCTGAACAGAACAGTCCTGTTCCCTCCTCCTCTAGTTCTTTTCCGTTTGAAGAGCCCCTGGGCTCCAGAGTGTTTGTTGCTTTTTTGCATTTAGAGTTTGGTGTAGGATGTAAACATTGTTAAAGTCTTTTAATTATACTGCCTACTCTCCAGTCCATGTGGTCCATGGATATGCTTTGAATACATTGTTCTAGTGACGTCACAAAACCAACACGTTTACACATCCACCTATTCAGACCCCAGCAGATTAGCCCCGCCCATTCACGTTGAGGATATAAGGAAGGTTTTTACCTATGCCCAATGTAAATCTCCACTATCCTGCCCAGCGGCGTCCACTCTTGTGGACTTTGGACCTCCGTTCTCTGACGTACATTGAAGTGCACAATGTCAGGCATATAAAAAGTGCCAGTATGTTGGCACCTCATCTAAGACCACTTTCAGGGTTGGTATTTTGGAAGACCTTTTATTTGTCTGAAATATTTTTAACCATTGTTTAGTAATTTTTTGAAGTTCTCGTTTTGTTTATGTTACCATATGCGCTTAGCTATGAATTTTGGGTAACTCCACAAGCAAAGTCTGCTGAAGCCTGAAGCTATCCCCCTTACAGCCTAGATAAATTACAGAATTCAGCAGCCCTCTGACCCTTTCTTGGTGGCGAGTATGATAAGTCCTCATGTGCGCATTTCAGAAGAGGACCAAAGATTTAAACTGGTCACTAGACTGCCCAAACATTTATACCATTTATATCTATCAGCCTTAAAGGCACAGTAACAAACCAGCCTAATAGGGCTGAACGATATGCGGAAAATATCTGATTGTGATTTTTCTGACTAATATTGTGACTGCAGTTACATTCCAATTGTTATCTGAGATATATGATTTAGGCCTGGTTTGTTCAGAATATCCATCTTTCCTGGCTTGATTCTTGACCCTTCAATGAAGTGTGCCAAACTGCCAGTAAGTTGTGGTTGTGATGTCACAACACATGGAGGTTCTAATTTATCTACAGGCGCTTCAGGAGTTTTTGATAACACAGGCTTTAAATAAAAAAAATTGCGGCTCTTGCGATTTAAAAATTGCCCTCTCTTGAATTGCAATTTTGAACTTAAAATAATTACTCTTTCAGCCCTACAGCCTAATTACTTCTAAGGCTGGCTTTACAGGGTAGAACTTTCATGCAACTTTAATTTTAGTTGCCTGAAACCTACATGAAACCAAGTTGCACTCATGTTGCATAATATAAAGTGTTCTACAACTCATTTGAAATGCAGCCACAACAGTTGCAAGCATTTCAACTTTGTAGATCAAGTTTCATAAAACAGCCCATCAAAATGCAAATAACGTGTCACGTGATCATACTAAATAACATACTTTCAAATGATTGGTTTTACTGGGTTAATGGGCAAGAAAGTAAAACAAGGCTGTTACTTGGTAAAGACCCCCCCTTTGTGTAACTGTCAAGTTGCATGCAAATTATGTTGCAGGCAGTTCATAACAACTAGTTGAAAAGTTTTAAGTTTCACCATATAAAGCCAGCCGAAGGGACAAAGAAGTTAGAAAATGGTAATGTAGAAATGAATTCTGACATTTTTTGTATATAAACTGATAGAAATATCAATAAACCTCAGGGGAAGAACAAGAAACATGAATGATATAGACTCAAACAGAGCTTAGTCAGCATGTTGTCTGCTGTCCTTGGGTTGGAAGGAAGAGTTAGGGATGGGGATCACAAAGTGAGCCAACTATCTCATCACTGGCTGTCCTTACACATTCACCCGCACCATTTAAGCCAATTAAAGTCTTCAGTTACAGATTTAGGATCAGCACTCTCATGGTTTATATTCACAAAGCACCTCATTGTAGGTTTATAAGTGACTTGAGGTTGCTAGACTGGATAATGCTGATAAAACCAGACCTTTCTGAACAGAAGTATCATGGTCAGTGATGAGGTAGGTTTAATGGGGGTCACCAGGTTGTCAGCCATTTATCAAAGTTCTAACCAGAGGTGCTCAAATTTCAGTTTTAGAGATGGCATGAGTTAAGTTTTCGGTTAGCCCATTTTCATTACACTGTACTCTACCAACTGACATTGTACACAGTGTTGTCACCTTTCTTGCACAAGTGCCCAACCTGCATGGCTTTAATTCATTCAGCCATGCAGATGACATTCCTCCTTTGTAACGATACTGTAGCATTTTTGGAGTTGCATCATCAGTACATTAAAGTTGTATCCTTGTTGTGCTTTCTGGGCTCTGAAAGCTGATCACTGCTTGTCCTATGGATAGTGTTTCCTTCCTCTGTAGCGTTGTAATTGGGGCATGTAGTCTAATGTTTGATTCTGGGGGAAAGAAAAGTGTAACATGATGTTCGGAGTGGTCCCATCCATGGACTGGACATTTACGTTTGATTTTTACAGGAAAGTATTTAGCTTACAACATCTCTGTCAGCTGTGCTGATGCCCATGACTAACTGAATTAAGTGTATAATTGGCTCAAGACTTCTTGCAGCCAATAGCTGATCAGAGCACTGTTGTAAAAACAAGGTGGCTTTCTGGGAACAGCCATGTGCCTCCACTCAGCAAGTTATTTTAAGTGGAAGATCTTTATGAGGGCAATTCTTAGAATTGAGGTAGTACTAAAAAGTCTTTCTGTTTTTCAGAAACCTCAGTGTTTCGGTTTTTAGCAGCAAGTGGCATTCTGAGGAAGGGATAAGAGAAGATGAGTTCCGTGTTGTATTTTACAGACAAACTTTATTCGGTGCGGAAATGAAAAGTCAGCTAAAGAATTGTGAGAAAATGTACTTTACTGCAATCTACTGCTGACTGGGTTTCCTCTTGCTCATGTTGAACGGTTATGTAACAAGTTGAAGATCGGTGACCTTTGGCTGTGCCAGAGATACGTGAGCAGCTTTCCACAGAATCAGAGTGCCACACTAACTCCTTATGGTTTTGTCTGTGGTTGAAGGTACTGGGGGATAGTCTATGTCGGTATACCTGTATTTGTGTCACACAACTATGTTTATTCAGTTTGAGCAGTATCGATAAGTAACTGTTCATAATTGTCAAGCAGTGCTTTTTCCATATAGTGTACTTTACATGTGGTGTTGAAGTCCGGACAGTTAATAGTTGTGCATTTCAGTTGCTCGCTGCTTCAGATAGTTTCGAGAGAACAGCTGAAAACAAATTCTGTCTGGTTAATGTTTAGAGTACTAGATAATTTACCCTTTAAAAAAAAAGAAAAGAAACACTTTGAAGAAAACGAACTATGTCAGGTTTGTAAGGTATTATTTTAGCACAGAGCTGTCTGGTGGGGACACATCTGGGCCCAACTTGTTAAAACTTTGGTGCTGGATTGCAGCAAAATCTGCAGCTAACAAGGAACATCCCCTCTAAAGCTTTTCCCTAAAGTCGTCTAGTCTGTGCCATTTAATCGATAATACAAGCACAGCAAACTAGCTAGCGAAACTATCACTGGCTAATGGAACTATTTTTCCTGTGCAGGAGGTAATGTTATTTTCACCTCATGTATTGTTCTCTGCAAATGTGATATACATCTACATGGTTAATTAGATATTTTGTGGGACTTTTCAGCCATGCTAAACTTACTTTACATCCATAGGCTAACAACACACTTGTTGTTCATCACACAATGTTGAGGAGCGCACCATCGCTACTTACTTTGAGCATCACCTTCACAAGACGGTGGATTGGTTTGAAATGTCACACTCTAATTAATCTATATTCCCTACCACAATTAGTCCAAGTTTTCTCTTGGTTGTCCCCAGATGTTCTAGTTGCGACATCACGTCTAGCCCCATCAGACTAAGCACAGAGTTGGAGTACTTGGGCAGGGTTCAACAAACCTTTTCCCCAGCTTGGGAAAGAGTAAACTGTTCCAAACAATTTCTTAGTTTTTCATGCGTGATCACAGGGGGGTCTTTTCAAAACACTCTGGTGACTTTTCTCACATCAGTGTTCTGGTTTTGTCTGGTTTTAGACCTACGAACTACAGAATATCTCTGGTGTGGATGTGTCGGAATTGTCCCAAGACAAACGAGGGAATTTCTTATTCGTTTCAGCTTTTACTCCGGCTTTGCTGGCATTTGGAATCAGGCCTCGCGCTAGAATGGATTATCAACACACAATGCAATTGGCTAGATTTATCTCGGTGCACAACTAGATTACACCATTTTCCTGCAAAGAGGGGGTGTTTGGACATGAAAGCGAATAAAAGCAATATCAAGTGCCGGTTCACAGAGCTGAATGTTAACAAGAACGCCAAAACATCAGCTTGCCTGAATGGACAACTGATTTTCAACACTGTCTCGAATTACCATGTGATTTGCCCCAGGCATTCGGGCAATCTTTAATATTGAACCTTCCTTGAGAATTATGGGTTAGCATTAATACAAACTGGGATTTAGAGGTGTCACTGCTCTGATACTAGGTATTGGTATTAGGCTGATTATCAGCAGGAAACGCTAGATCAGATATCAGAGGGGAAAAAAATTAATCTGATCTGATTACAAGTTTAGCCTAAAATAGGACAGAATTGCTTATAGCATTGTAAAATGTAAAGCAAAATGGTAATATAAGGAATCACGTGGTGATTCACGTACAGTAGTGGAG